TTTAAACATTCTCAGACTACACAAAGTGAAAGATAGGAAAATATTTAAAGCAGCCAGAGTTAAAAAGACACAGTATGTATAAAGGAACAAAGCATACAGGGACTTTTTGTTAGAGACTATGCAAGTCAGAAGATAATGGAGTTTCATCTTTAAAATGCTGGGAGTGAGGGAGCAGGGGCAACCTGTCAACCCAGATTCAATCCCCAGTGAAAATATCTGTCAGATAACTAAATAAAGACTTTTTTCAGAGAAGTAAAAACTGAAAGAATTATCAGTAGACCTTCACTAAAGAGACTTTAAAGAAAGTTCTTTAAGAAAAAAGAATATGAAACCAGACAGGAACTTATTCTACATAAAGAAATGAAGATCCCCAGAAATAGTTAAAAAGAAGGTTAATGTAAAAGAAAACTTTTTTCTGCAGCAAAAATAACAATGTATTGTGGATCTGTACCACATGTAAAAGTTAAAAGTATAGCAAAATAGTACAAAACATAAAAGGTAGAAATGGGAAGTATACTGTTAGAAGGTTCTTAGATTGTAAGTGAATCAGTATAATATTACTTGGAAAGTAGACTGTGATTAATTAAAAATATGTCTTATAAACTTTAGGGCAAGTATCAGCAAACTATGGCCAATGGACCAAATCTGACCCACTGTCTTTTTTTGTTAAGTAAAGCTTTATTGAAACACAGCTGTGACCATTCATTTATGTATTATCTATGGCTGCTTTCATGCTATAATGTCAGAGCTGAGTAGTTGCAACACAGACCATATGGCCCAAAAGCCTAAAATATTTCCTATCTGGCTCTTTATAGTAAAGGTTTGCCAACATCTCTTTTGTGGCAACCACTAAATAAATGTTACTGAAGTATGAAATCTAAAAAAAAAATACCCAGTAAACCCAAAAGCAGGCCAAAAAGGAGGAAGAAAGGAAGAAAGAACTGATTGAACAAATAGGAAACAAACAAAATCAACAAGAGTGTAGATTTTAATTCAACCATATCGATAATTACATTAAATGTAAATAATCTAGCCATGCCAATTAAAATACAAAGATTGTCATAGTACGTGAAGAAGAAAAAGAACAAACTACGTGCTGTCTACATCAAACCTACTTTAAATACATAGATATAGATAGGTTAAAAGTAAAAGGATGGAAAAATGTATACCATGAAAACTCTAGCTAAAAGAAAGCTTAAGGACTGGCTACCTAAACATCGGAAAAGAGCCTTCAGAACAAGGGATATTACCAGAGATAAAAAGGGACATTAGCTAAGGATAAAAAGAACAATTCACACACACAGAAATCCTAAATGTGTATGCCCCTAAAACTTGGATTTCAAAACTCATGAAGAAAAAACTTACAGTACTGAAATATTTGCAATTATAGTTGAAAACTTAAACACCCCTCTTTAAGTAATCTATAGAACACATGGACAGAAAACCAGTAAGGATATAAAGACCTAAACAACACTATCAAAAACTTTGATCTAACTGACATTTATGAAGCACTGCTGTCAACAGTAACAGAACACATGTCATTTTCAAGTGTATGTGGAATGTTTCGTCCAGATAGACAATGCTTTGAACCATAAAACAAACCTTAACAAATATAAAATCATTGAAGTCATACAAAGTATGTTTTTTGACCATAACAGAATTAAAGTGGATGTCAATAACAGAACTAAGTCTGGAAAATCCCCAAATATTTGGAAAAAAAGTTAAACATTTCTAAATAACCAATGGTTTAAAGCAGAAGTAACAAAGGAAATTAGGAAATATTAATTTAATGAAAGTGAGAAAATACAATATTAAAATCTATGAGATGTATCTAAAGCAGTGCCTAGAGGGAAATTTATAGCATTTAATGTTCATATTAGAAAAAAAGAACGTCTTAAATCGATAGCTTAAGCCTCCATCTTATGAAACTAGAAAAATAAGAGCAAATGAAACCCAAAGTAAAGTGGAGGAAAAGAGACAATGAAGAGCAGCAATCAATGAATTTGAAAACAGAAAAACAATAGAGAAAATTGATGAAACCAAAAGCTGAATCTGTACAACTCTAACCAGACTGACCAAGAAAAAAAAAAGACACTAATTACAAGTATAAGAAGGAAAAACAAGATATCACTATAGACCCTAAAGAACCTTATTTTACCTTGTTGTTTCTTCTTTTTCCTTTCTCTTATTTTTCATATGATTTCATCAGGTTGCTATTCATTCCATGTTTGCCTCAAAGAAAAAAAAATTAAAATTTAGGAAGTAAAATTAACAGGATATGAAATCTGCTTAAAATGGGAAAAGGGGAGTGAGAGAAAGTCGATTGGGTGGAAGCTTTATCTGAGATGCCAAATTCATAATAGACATTGTTTTGTTGATAATGGGTTATTTGGGTGGGGGAACATGAGTCTGAGAAAGATGGTGAATTCTGGTTGGGGCACACTAAGTTTCGGTTTACCTCTTGGACATCCAAATAGAGGATGTAGGAAGTTGGAAATGTGGGTTTGGTGTTTGAAGGGAGGTCTGGAGTGGAGGTTCAGGTTTGGGAGTCGTCAGCTTACATGTAGTATTAAAACTGTAGGAGTAGTTTGATAATGTGTAGATTGAGACAGAAAGGCCCACAGTGGAGCCCCCTGACTTTATAGAAGTTGTATCTAATTCCTTGATGCCATAAGAGATAACAGGGAACCCAGTCCCAAGTACAAGAAAAAGGACTAGTATATGCAACTCAGGACTTTTGTCCTCAAAAGGAACCTAGAATAACTCACTATATAATGATGGGGATGGAGCTAGGCATACAAATGTTCATGGTGAGCAAATGCATGCAGGCACTTCATGGACTTAAAGCTGTTCAGAAGAGAGCAAACTTGCTAACGAGATTTTAGTGGCTAGAAATCAAAAGAATGAGCTGAGGAAACTGAATTGCCCTTAACTAACAAGGGTAATAGTGTAGTTGCCAAATGACCAGACTGCATTGTTAGATGTGGATGGCGTTATGTTTGTTTTTTTCCATAAGAGTCATAAGACACTAAAAACAGATGATATTAATAAAAACTATGATGTTTTTAAGGTATTGCTAGGATGTTAGTAAGTATTCCAGGACAAATAATATTCCAGGCATATGAGCATAGGCATATTTATAAGAGGAAAATCAATTTTCTGCAGTTATCTGGAATTCATATTCATGGTAATGTATGCTGTCAAACCTTGTCTTTCAGTCTCCGAATTCTTCCTTTTTGAAAACCAAATCTAGTTTTGTAAGGGAGAAATATTCTATTTAGTTTCTCTTATGAAGTTAACATCTTTTTCTGTTAGTCATTTTGGCAGCAAGGGTGTGGAACTACAGACTTTCAGTAATATCCTATGACTTCCCTTTAGTTACTGAAAAATAGGGTTATAATTTTATACTTTAGATTGTAAACAACAGAGATTCCTTCATGGTGCCTCGAGGAAAAGAGAGTTTGTGGTAAAGCTGCTTGTGAACTAGAAGTGGAGAGTTATCAAGCACAGGGGAAGCTTGAGGGAAGAGCTACTCCCTCCATCTCTGCCATGAGCTACATGGTTTCTCTCACAGCATCTTCACTTCCCTTTACACACCTGCTCTGATTGCCACTCTACTATCTGGCCTCCTCTGCGTATTTATCATGTCTATTTCTCTACAAGTCTATTTTGCAGTCTTCAGCTTACCATACCTCTCCAATTCTACTTTATGGCATCCTTTTAGATTCTTCTCCCACTTTTATCTGGCTATGTATTTTCAAATTTAGGTTCACAAGAACAAGAAGTGTGCTTGACCCAGCTCATCTTTTCTTGCCAGCTTCTTTCCTGGGTCTCTGCCAGCCGAAAGATTGCCTGCTCTTGGGTCAGGTATCCACTCTCATCCAAACATCCGTAGCTTGAGGTGGAAGTAATCATTTGGTCCAAAACTTGGCCATCTTGGCAGAAATGTCTAAGGATGAGGAATTTTTCTCTTCAAAGGAAGTATCCACATAATAAGCATTTGAGTTTTGGCCTTTCCAATAAACATTGTGTGGACTTTAGTCTAGATTCCACTACTTTATCTTGTATAACTTCTGTCTTTTATAAATTGATTTTTGTTATTTAGAAATATATATTTTTGGGTGAAGTCAATTCTATAGTATTTCTCAGCTTTCTACCTTTCTCGTGTAGAAATAGAAAAACCTAAATAACCCTCAGTTGAAATATAAGCGCTTCAGTTTTCCATGCATGGTCTAGTAAGCTGCAAGAAGCAGAGTTATGGTATTTAACACTAAATCTCAGACTTAGCCCTGATGTTCACTTCTAAATTCTACATACAATTTCTAACACTTTTGAAAGCGCTCAGTTCAAGTTCCTGGCCTCTAGATGGCCCTCTATCTTTTAGGAATGCTTTGAACCCATTTCCTGAGGAGGAAAAGTTGGAGCCAGTGATCTTTCTGGAATAGTGCAAGTTGCCCTGTCCTGTAGGCTTCCTAGAGTATAATGGAGCTGAAATTCTCTATCCTTTGAGGAGTCCCTCCAAAGCAAGGAGTAATACCTACATCACTTTTGCCCACACATCAGGGCCCTTGACTTTATGTTAATCCCTAGATTTTATGGTTTACTTAGCATTTTATGAGTTATAGTGAAAATCTCAACCAGTTTTTGGGAACACAACCATAATCTCCTAAACTCTGTGTTCACCCAAAACACAGCATTTTTGGCTTTCAAAAACTATCGACAATCAATCTTAGATGTTCCATTCCCTTGTTGTGTAATCAGATGAATCTGGAATTGCAAAGTTGTATCTATTAAAGTGGGGAGATAGTAAGAGGAAGGTGGAATGAAGAAAAAAGGGCAGATCTAGATCTGAGGGGAATTGGAGAAACTTCGTACTTGGTTAGCGTTCAGATTTCTAAAGGAAATGGAAGGGTATTTGGCAAGGAGAGAAGTCAGTCATGATTTTTAGAAGATGGTGGTTTTCTTCAGTATTTAAAAATGCTCTTTTTTTAATTTTCAAGATGATTATAGGGCTTGGGACATTCAGAAAAGTGAACTTCATAAACCAGAACAAGCTTACTACCCCCCTACTGTGAAATTTGGAAATTCAACTATATTTCAGGATGACTACGTTGCGCAGGAGGTAAAGCCTAGGCAAAGCTTTAAACCCAGCCCTGTGGTCCAGCGTCCCACAGACCCTTTTAGTGGTGACACAAGTCATCGCCTTGATTATGTCCCTTATCAGCTAGAAGTCAAGTCTGCAAGGCCAAAAGAAGTTTACAAACCAACCAACCAACCCTTTGAAGATCTCACAACTCACCGATATGACTTTCAGGGTCTGGTTGGTGAAACTGCAAAAATCTGCAGACCTGCATATACCAGAGTGACCCAAAAAGCTCAATTTGAAGGAAGCACTGAATTCCGTGAAAGTTTTCGACCATGGGAAATCCCACCACCTGAAGTCAAGAAAGTACAGGAGTATGTCCCTCCTACAGGTGCCATGCAGTTAAACAGCACAAGCCATCTCGACTATGTTCCATATCAGGCCAAACGTATTCTTCCCATCAGGCCAGTTTCCCATAGAAGAAATAACAATTATCCTTTCCAAGGAAAAAGCACCATGAAGGAAGATTTTCCAGTGTGGGAAAGTTGTCGTCAGGGTCTTATTAAGAAGCAGCAGCAGATTCCTAACCCATCTGGAAAATTTGATGGTTTGAGCACTTTCAGATCTCACTATGTGCCTCATGAATTGATTCCAACGGAGAGTTGCAAACCTTTAAATGTTCCTTTTAAGAGTTCTATTCCATTTGATGACGTAACCGTGTACTCTATAGAGTATGCACCAAAGAAACAGGAAATCTGCCCTGCTAGCTATCCCTCTCCTCCAGGTTATATCTTTGAAAATACAAATTCCCGAGGTCACAAATTTTTCCGCAAGATCATTCCCATAGTGAAGGCCTTCTAATCATCAAATCATGTTTAAAAGGAAGCTAACAAACAGGGGGTTGGTTTTCCAAGGGCAAAACCAATTTTTGATAGTAGAAAAAAATTATGAGAGTTAAAAAAAATCCTTTTTTAAATTTTTAAACAAAATTGGCAAATTTATTATATGAAATCAGGATCTTAAAATCCATTTTGTATTGATAGTTTTACCAAGATTTTTCTTTAATATGCATTTCTGAAAGTTGAATAAGGTACATTCCCATCTAAATTATTTTAATCCACAACATACTGTTTGGTAGCTTGTCTCCAATCTATTATCATTTATACTTGTGTTTATAGTTATGGCAATTATATGGTTATTCACATACCAGTTATCCCTTTTCAAGGCATTAGGACTATCTAGCACACCATTGAAAATGGTACTTAGATTCCTCTTCCAAGACAAGAATATTCATTTCCTCAGACTTTAAGGCATCTGCTTCATGTACACTGAGTCCTGTTTTGGTGGGTGGTGTTGCACTGCTCCTCACTGTGTTCAAGGTAGTAAGACGAGGAAAGGCTCTGTGGCTGGGAATCTGAGGACCTGAGTTCAAGTTCTGATGACATTGGTTTGTATTTGTGCTACCCTAGGCAAGTGACTCATGTCTTTGAGCCTCAGTGTTTTCATTTGTAAAAGGATATCTGCTCTGCCTGCCTCGCAAAACTTTTGTTTTGAGCATCAGATCATATGATACATTGTAATCCATAAAGTAAAAGTGCTCAGCAAAGGTCAGGGATTGTTAATGAGCCACTAAGTCTCTCTTTGTACCTGTTTTCTCCTTTTTCAAATTAGGATAATTGCCTACTCAATACTCACTTTCTGGCCTGTAGCAAGGATTGTAAAATAACCTAACTTGCTTCCAGTTTAGGAGCAGTATGACTTCTGAGAAGAGTCTTGCCGTCTAAAGCTTCCCGAGCTCCTGAGTTGTTGCAGAGAATGGAGAGCTTGGATTGGGGGGAATAACATGGTTTGAATGACAGTATTTCCAGAAAGGAAAAAGCATTTGCCAGAATACTTTTAAGAATGACTGACAGCTCTGAAGAAATCTTCAGGGTAACCTTAGTTAATTGTGCACCTAATTGCCATGCCCAGAGTCAGGGTTCAGAAGAGGAACCAGGCTCAGCATGGGGCGTAATTATGTCCTCCTCCTCCCCCAGTGTGAATATACATGCTCAGAAGGGAGGGGAGAAATGCCAGTAATGAAGTAGAAGGAACATATTGCACTTATAAATGCTGAAAATTTCCTAATGAATTGGACTCTTTGGGTGTTTTTTTCCTTTGAAAGATGATTGCATTATGGTAGAATATGATTTATTTATCTTAAAGTTTTGTCTTTTGTATCTTTAGAATTATTTATATACTTAATTGAGAATAAATCCATCAACATTTGGTTAAAGTATTTTTAATTATTTGAAAGTAGTTTGTTTTTATTTACATTTGTATTTATTAGTGAAAATTATGATATATAGAATTTTATATCTCTGCAGCATTAATAAAGCATCAATAAAAGGAATGTATTTTCATGAAATCGTTTCTGCATCAAATTTTCTCTGGAAAAGAGAGCTTTTTAATAAAGTCTTGTCTAGGTTAACCTGTACATAATTAGATATTCTTACCTTTTTAACAGAAAACATTATGTACTCAAAATGAAAAATGAGGGAATACTACAGCGCTCTCATCCTGGCCCATTTTCTGATGCTGGATATTCAAATCCCTCTGTAATCTCATGGGGGTGGTCTCCTCCCGTGACAAAGGTCACCCATAATAAGACATCTACGAGGGTTTCCTGGGGCAGTTTGCCTTGGGCTGAGGACACAAAGATGGATAATGGTGTCTCCCCTAAGCTAACACTCAATATAATAGGTGGGAACATAGAGATTGGAACAGAGTGTATATGGGACATTCAGCCTGGGAGTACAGGAAAGGCTTCATTAAGGAGAAGACAGCAGAGCTGAGTCTTGAAACCTAAGTAGGAACTTGCCAGATCAAGAAAAGTGGGAAGGTGAGAACAGAGTGAGCGCAGGAACAGAGGGATCTACATCTCTGTGCCAGAGTTAGTCTTCCAAGATACAGCGGTGGAAAGCTAGCAGCCCCTGATTCATCATCTCTTTAGGTCTCTTTGAAATACTATTCAGGAACGCACACACACACACAACGTTTTGACAGCATTGGAAACTGGTACTATTTCTTAACAGCCTGCCAGATTATAGAAGGAATTTCCACTAAGCCAAACTTGGATGAATCTGATGAAGAAAGGAGGACAATTCAGAGAGAAAAGGCGATAGGAAATTTCCACCCCCACCCCATCCCATCACTACCGTGTCTCCATACATATCCTTGTTGTGTAAAATAATACCACAGACTCAGAAATTAGAAAGAAAGGCTTTGTGATTTCTAAAAACCGCCCGGACAATGCTGAGTGAACCCCAGTAAACTACGGACTTCGGGTGATGATGATGTGTAGGTGTAGGTTCAGGGATTGTAACACAGGTACCCTCTGGTGTGGGCTGTTGATAGGGTGGGAAGCTGTGCATGTGCGGGGGCAGGGGGTATAGGGCAGCTCTGTACTTTTCACTCAATTTTGCTGTGAACCTAAAACTACTCTAAAAAATAAAGACTATTAAAAACAAAAACTGCATGGCAGGAAGAAAGGAGAGGAGTGTTCACCAGTCAGAGATTGGGAACCCCACACCCCAACTTCCTCAGATTTACAGACTTCCTTTTATATAAAACTGCTATCTACGGCCCTCTCTGAGAATAGCTGTGTGAGAGAAGCAGCCTCGTAACACAAAGGGAAGAGGAGACCTCTCAACCTTCATCAGGAAAAGGGAAGGTGGGCCTTGTAATCACAAGTCAGCAAACTTCAAAAAGACTGGGTAAAAAGAGTGCTGATTATATACTTCTGAAGTGTCCAATCAAATATCAGGACTCTTTCCTTTTGTTAAGGCTTTAGCTTTCTCACTCTCTGCACTCGATGCTGTTTTACGTGGATATGCAGATCTTCACCCTATGTCACAGACAGGACTTTCAGCAATGTCACCCCTCCCCAACATACCCAGGAACACAGTGCACAGTTTGATCCTGCTCTCTAAGGTTCCCAGGGCTATTTCATCAGCAGCTCCAATAGCTCCATTAATACTTCTTTATTTGTAGCCATTATGGAACATAATGGCTAACTAGGAAATGTGGCTAGGAGATGCTCATTGCCAGCAGGCATTTCAAGATGCTGAGACGGGAAGAGCAGTGGGAACTCATCTTCTTGCATGGACGGAATAGCATATGTGATCTTGTACAAATTACTTTCCCTCTCTGAGCCCTGTTTCTTCATCTGTAAAATAGACTTCAAAGGATATGTATCCAGAATAAAGAACTTTTAAAACGCAACAATAGGAAAAACAATGAGGAAAAGATCTAAACAGATACTTCACCAAAGAATATATACAGATAGTGTATTAGTTTGCTAAGGCTGCTGTAACAAAGGACCACAAACTGGATGGCTTAAACAACAGAAATTTACCGTGTCCCAGTTCTGGAGGCTAGAAGTCCAAGATGAATGTGTTGGCAGAATTAGTTCCTTCTGAGGGCTGTGAGGGAAAAATCTGTCCTATTCATCTCTCCTAGCTTCTGGAGTTTTGCTAGCCATCTTTGGTGTCCCTTGGCTTGTAGATCTCTGCCTTCATCTTCACATGGCATTCTCTCTATGTGCATGCATCTGTGTCCAAATTCCCCCTTTTCTAAGAATACCAGCCATATTGGTCTTCACAGACATGGGACTCTCACCAATATCATCCACCCTAATGAACTTGATCATCTGCCAAGACCCAATTTCCAAATAAAGTTACATTCTGGGAGTCAGAAATTTTGGGGGACAAAATTCAACATAAAAGATGGCAAATAAGCATATGAAAAGATACTCAATATCATTAGTCACTAGGGAAATTCAAATTAAAACTACAATGAGGTACCACTACACACCTATTAGAATGGCTACCAAAAAATTAACACGCACAAAAACCTGACAATACCAAGTATTGGCAAGGATTCAGATCACCTGAATTGTTAGTTCATCTATTGTTAGTGGGAACACAAAATGGTACAGCCACTTTATTCATAATCACCCAAACTGGAAACAACCCAGATGTCTTTTAACTGGAAGAATGATACACATCTATAGCATATCCATACAAAGCCCATTCAAGGAACAAACTATCGATTTGCCCAACGTCCTGCATGAATCTTCTTAAATGTGTTTTGGTAAGTGAAATAAGCTAGACCTCAAAGGCCACGTATTGTATGATCCCACTTATATGAAATTCTGGAAAAGGTAAAATTATAGGGACAGAAAATAGGTCAGTGATTGTCAGAGTGGAGAGGGGTACCACAAAGAAGTGGGCAGGAGAATTTTGGGGGTGAGGGAACTGTTATGTAAGAAACTGTGGTGGTAGATAAACAACTCTCTGAATTTGTCAGAACGATTAGAACTGAAAACCACAGAGTCAGTTTTACTGCAGGTAAAATTACAAAAACCATCACCCAAGATGTGGGGAGATCCCAAAAAGGAATGCAGACTGTGACACACACCTGTACTGCAAACAAATCACGTAACCACTCTGCAGGGGTTGGGAAGAAAGGAGACAACCTCAGTAACCTTGGAAAAGAGTGTTTTGACTGGACATTATAAGGCTATAGACAAAAAGAATTCTATACAAACATTGTACTCTAGTTGGTAAATTTTTTTTTCTCTCACAGAGAGAAAAATGTGTCAGCAATTTTGAAATTACTTTATGTGTATATTAAGGTCAAACCAAGAAAATATATTGTAGATAATGACAGCCAAGCTTCTCACTGTCCAAGAAAGAAGTTACAAATAAGAAAAAAGTGTAGACTATAATAATGACCTGTGGTGCTGAATGGGCATCTGAGGTTTCAGTATGAATTCACAGATACAGAAAAAAAAAATAGGGGTGTGTGTGTGTGTGTGCGTGCGCACTTTCATGGGTTAGTATATATACAATCAACCTAAAAAAACTCCCAATAGCCAAAGCTGGGGTGAATTGAGCAATGAAATTATGATAGTGTTGGATTTTAACCCAAACAAAAATATATATCCTGAAGTCCATATTGACATAAATAAGTCAATAAATAAATAAGTACAGGAAAAGAGACAACTCTTTCTTACAGGATTCCAATTAGTTAAAGTAAAAGGAATGAAGAAAATGGAAAGTCACCATTAGAACATCACCATCATAATTGTTGTAGGCACAATCCATAGTGGATGCTAAAATTAGGGGACAACACTTCAAGGGGAAGTAGAATATTTGCACAGTTTCAAAGTACTGCCTCTAATGTATTTATTAATTACAAACAGAAAAATAGTAACTTGATAGAGAAGAAACCTGGCAGAAACCACCTCTACCAAGGAACAAGGTAAACATCACCCGTAACTGGACATATTGACCTCATGTTCCCCCTGATACTGTGCACTGAGAAGGGCAATAGTGCATAACCTCACTCTAATCATGAGACATCAGATAACCCCAAACTGAGGGACATTCCACAAAATCTCTAGCCAGTGTCATTGGTCAAAAGTGTCATAGTCATGAAAGACAAGAAAAGGCTGAGGAACTGCCACAGATCTGAGGAGGCTAAAGAAGGGTGGCCACTAAACACAATACGGGATCCTGGATTAGAACCGGGGGCAGGAAAATGGACAACAGTGGAAAAATGGTGAAATCCCAATAAAGTCTGTAGTTTAGTTAATAGTATTATACCAATGTCAATGCCTTGATCATTATAGTTATGGAAGATGATGTTAACATTAAAGGAATTTAGGTGAATGGTACATGGGAATTCTCTGTACTGCTTTTCTAACACTTCTGTAAGTCTTAAATTACCTTGTATAAAAAGTTTAAAAAATAGATAGACTTGTTCTGCCTGGTTCACAAGGTTTATCTTTTCAACTCCCTAGCCATCCATCCATCTATCAATTTACTTAGAAATTTTGAGGTCATTCTACACACTTGACAATATTTTAGATGCTAGGGACTAGAAATAAGACCAGAAATAATCTCCGTCCTGGCAGAGCTCACAGTTCAGTGAAGAGCTGTGAGATGTTCGGCGAAGCTTAAAAAGGGAATAATCCTGACTCGAGGAGCTATACTAGAATCTCTGTAAAATTAGTAGGGCTGTGGACTCAAGTCTGCCCTGGTTAAACCTTTTCTCTCTTTGCACTTCAGAATTAAGGCTCGTTGCAACCTTCTCCTGTCCTTTGTTTATTACATAGAAATGCTTGGGGATAATCTTTCCTATATTTCCTTAGAATGATTCTTTCACTTTTTTCCTAGTTGATATATAAGAGATAGAAAATTTGGGTATTTACGTCATCACAGTGTACATGAGAGAGGATCAAAGCTTTACATCAATGCTTAGATTGTTAAATCTGGATTTTTCAGTGTCCTTGCATAGTTACTAAAAATTACAAAATATTTAAAACTGCCAAGAAAATAGAGGGATTTCCTAGAAAAATTTCTCTGAGTTGGAAATGAAGTTGCTAACTTTTCCTCTCTCTTCTGATAATGCTCTCCACTCCTTGTAAACTATGTAGGCCTTGGTAAAAAAAAAAAAAAAAAAAAAAAGAAAAGAGAAAGGAAGGAAAGAAGGGAGGGAGGGAGGAGGCAGGAAGGAAGGAGGGAGGGAGGCAGGAAGGAAGGAGGGAGGGAAGGAAGGAGGGAAGGAGGGAAGAAGGGAGGGAGGGAAGGAGGGAGGGAGGGAGGGAAGTATACTTTTGAGACAGTTGAGGTATCCCATGGCTTATCTCCTGTGTGGCTCTGCCTCATGAGGTTAACAGTCTCACAAGTTACTGTAAAATGATTGATTTTTGTCTTCAGTAAATGACCTTGGAGACTCTAAGGAGGCAGCCAAGGTGACGACAGCCAAGGCTACCAAAAACATAACACAAATAAGCCACCTACATTTATAAGGATGCCACTGAATAATCAAAGTAAATTTATTTCTGAATTACTTAAGGTTCATGAAAGAGAAACATTAACTCATGTTATAGAAACAGTAGTAAAATACAGTACACAGGAATGTCATTTGAATAATAACAAGGCAAAAGTACAATAGCAAATGAAAAATAGCCACTTTTTAACTATAAATACAAAGGTAAAGCAATTTAATAAGAAATTTTGTTAATAAGAAAAATATATGTCCCATGTCTTTATTACATACTGTACAAAATAAAATATTGCACCTTTAAGTCATATAATAAATATATACAAAGAGTATTTTACAAATGATCTTTCTTTCAATTTAAAAACCTTCAACAATCAATTGTGATTGATGACTTAACAACTCACGGGCTGGTGTGTGCTCTTCATGCCCCCACATCCATCCCAACCACCAAACCCTCTACATACAGTAGTGCTCATCCCAGTGTCAGTGAGGCTGAAGCCAGAACAAGAGACCTGGTGCTCAGAAGATGGTAGAGACTCAGCAAGCTTGTCCACAGACAAATCCAAAGCCAAATGCGCTGCTCACTTCCTAGTGACCAGCGACGAGGTCCAGCACCACTGCCTCGGGAGCTTAGCTGCCGACAGACTGTAGACAGCATGCGTACCAGCAGCTGGGGCGCACAATAGAGAAGCATGGCCACTTGCTGGTGTTGTGTGCCATCTAAAGCTGGAACTGGTAGAAGGTAAGGGAAACAGCCCCATCACCAAATTGGCTTTAGAATTTACAATTTAATGCTAGCCCCACAAGACTTCAGCAGCAACATTTACCCCAAACTTAACCTCCACTCTGACACTAACACCAGCATTGGCCCCAATCTAAACCCAGCCCAACTCTGACCTAACCTGGCCCTAACCCTAACCCTAACCTCTAAAGCCAACTCTAGCCCTAATCCTAACTTAACTTCCATTCTCACCTAATGCTAATCCTAAACTTATTCACTAAATTCTCTCATCCCTAGTCCTAACTGTAACTTCCAGCCTAACCCTAATTCACTTTGGATTTACTGAAAAATCAGTCCAAATTCAAACAATTATTTACTATAAACAGTTCTTTTCACCTACCATGTTTCATATTTAGATTACTTTCTTATAATTTTTCCAAAATAAAAATCCTTAGGAATACTATTTTATGCATAAATTAGGTCTAAGAAGGCTTTAATTTTCTGTTTGTGTGCAAGAGAATAGTGCTTAGAAAAGTTTCCTTCACAGCTCTTAAAAGAAAGCTTCGAACAGACTTCAAAATCAGTAGAAAAGGTTAACTCTCCCTCTCCTTTGATTTCCAAGACGCCTCATTTGGTCACAGGTCAATTTCCGTAGTTGTGAAAATGGCAGCGACATTTACTCTGTGTTTTCTCCCACGGGTTCTCTAAGAGCAAGGACAAGGTGCCACCCCCGTTATCCTGGATCAGTCAGTGTTACAAGCCTGTCCAGAGGGATTGTCTCTTTTTCACAGACTAAACTTAAGGATCCATAAAAATGCCATTAGTGCCAACATCTTAACAACTACTGGCCAGAGCTTCTGAAATGTAAATGCCTTATAAACCTATTGAAACCCTAAACCTCGAGAGAAAAGGAAGTCACCAGTCACTGTGTTCCCCAGGTCTTCAGGATGTCCTACTCTACACTAGTCTACAAATCACAGGAAGAGGCAGCCTCCTGTGAGAATGCAGCGGTGATCTTGGTGATTTCCTGATGAGGAGCACGCGATGCAGTCCTCTGTGCAGAGGCACACCTGGACGGGATTTCTGTCAGTCCTCCAATGCATCAGGTAAAAGAGCTGGAATTGACAACTGGCCGTGGGAAAATGACACTACAAAATCCGACAGTGGTGATTTTGCATCCACCTCTGATTGCAGAATCTAGAGTTTTTGAAGAAATACATGTTTTTGAACATGGGGAAAAGAGCTTTTACACTTTTATTTTATCTTCACAGCAGCGTTAGGACCCCCTCCAAAGGTTTATCCTTCTTGACATGACTGGCAGCACCTTTGTTTGTAGAGGTCTAGTGAACACAAATTAAGATGCTTTACAAACATACAGTAGTGAGTTGTGTCTGCACAGTCTCCTGCAAAAAAAAAAATATACATATATATATCTCTCTCTCTCTCCACTTAACACATAAGTCATTAGAGACTTAAGATAAAAAAATCATTTGATTTTATGAAAAGCATAAATTGAGATCACAGAGTGAAGGGAAGAAACCAGGCTTGGATGAGGGCCACGGCCTTGCACCCCAGTCACAGGGCACCGGACTCACTTCTCAGCTGGCCCGATGGCCTCACACTGCTCCCAGGACCTCACGGCCCTCTGCCCATGCTGCTCCTCTCGGTGCTCAGAGAAGCAGTGCTTAGCTTTTGGAGGGTCATGGACCGCTTGGGAAACTTAAGAAAGCTGTGGCCCTGCTCCCTAGAAAAATACATTTATGATGAAATTTTACATGTAACTTCAGGACATTGGCATACCTGCGCAGTCCCACCCACAGAATCTCTGTCTTCGCGGATGAGACTCCCAGGCAGAAGGGGAGTCTGTGGGGAGGCGGCCAGTGCTTGTTAGAAGGCAGTAACTGAGGCCACTTGCCATCCCACTACTTCAGCTGTTTTTTCTCTAAAGAACACTGAGTTGCACCCACATCCAAGTAGCTAATCTCCTAATGTCCTGAGATACCACATCCATTCTGAATGTCCCCTCAGACGCAACACCAGCAAGGTGGGCGCCAGGAGGGTCTGGTTTGGACAAGGCTTCAGGGGCGGTCGCGATACCTGTGAGGGGTACGTACTATCACAGGAAGGCCCAAGACAGTGCCGCCAGGAAGTGGGTTTCTTTTTCTGCACACAGTGTCTCTCAGCCACTGGTCTGCAGCTCCTTGTGTGGACGCAGTCGACTTTCCGAGACTGGAAGCCCCTGCCACAGGCTGCCGTACAGGGCCTCCAAGGGCCTGTGCGCCAGCACACGTCACACGCCCCTGACGAGCAGTTCCTCCTGAAGGTGGGCCTGAAATGAAAAAGACAAAAAACCAAAAAACAGAAAAGAAGTGGGGTGTCACTTCTTGCAGGGGATCAAGGCTTTTACTGACCATCTTTTCCATATATTAAAGGTTTGACAATCAGGACCCTATTCATCAGGAAACTGATTGACATTGTTCACGGTTGACTAAGCAAAGTGGTGGTGCAATCACCACCATAGTAGAGGCAAGCGAACCACGAGTTCCCCCAACTCCCAGCACCAAGTCAAGGCACACCCCTCCAGAGAGATGCTGTCCTGAGAAGCTGCAGCAGATCAGTTTAGGCAAAGGAGAGAAGAAGGACTCACAATAAACCACTTTGAATTTGTGAACAAACTTTAAGTTTTGTTAATATACACAGTTGAAACATATTGTGGCATGAGCGTGAATCAGTACATGAGCAGTCCCGTCTGCTGAGAGAAGGGCTCTTACGTCTTCATTTAGGCCACACCGTGAGTTGTAGTCAGAGCTAACAAAGACCATTTCAGGTGAGGGATCTATCTCTGGTTTCCTTACCCTATAAAACAGATCAGAAAGTTAATGCCCTCTGATTTTTGAAAAGATATTTACCCTGAAGGGTAGAGCCACCTTATTGGACCCACTTTGGAGTATCTGCCATTGTTCCCTGGGGCAAGGCTCCTGGAAGCTATATTTGTACTACACAAGAATGTCTCCCCAACCCCCAAAGATGACTGGAAGAGGGCCCTAACTGAGCTGGTTCAATAATTGTCTTCCTCCCAGGAATTTGGAGCTTGCTGGAACAAGACACATAAACCTGAAGGCTGGAGTAGTAGTGGCCATATTCTGCTATACAGGCCAGAGAAGTAGAAAAAATAATACTTAGGAAGAAAAAAGAATGTAGCAGAAACACACAGAGCTGAGGGGAGGAAAAAATCCCAATGACTTCTGATTTCTTGGTTACAGTCCTCCCTGAGGTCTGACAGCATTCTCACTTTGGATTCTTGAAACAATTTTGTATTCCTATAAAAGGCTCCTTATAAGGGACATAATCTGTAAGGAGTGTTGAGACACCACCGGAAATGTAATAAGATGAGGAAAATTGTGATAACCTGAACTTCTTTAAGGGAGAGTATTACACACAGTTGGAAGCAATACTTTGATTAGCCAGTAGGGGGAGACTCCATCAAAGGGTTTACTTACTGTCACACCAAACTGTTTATAAGATTTATAAGGAGTCGGGGGATGGTGTCCTGTTAACTTCAGGGCTGCTGTTTTTCCCAATGGGTATGCATTTTAGGGGCTAAAAGTTGAATGGCTCTGGACAACAGGGCAGAGACTGAGTAATCCTGAGCCATCCCCATATGCAGAGATCAGCTTTTCCACCGAAAAAGTTTGAGTATTCAAAGAATACTCAAAGAATATATTTAAAAGGATACCAAATTGTTATGCACAGATGTTGAGTGGTCCTGTCTTATTAATAAATCTCCTGCCCTCTTGGCATAAATCATTCTAAGTTGACTTCTGTTGTTTCTGGCCCAAAGGACCTTAACTAATACAGTCCCTTCTGTTTCGATAGAAGGCAGAGCCAGTGGGAAGTCAGAAGGAACCACTGAGTTTCCTAAATATAAAAGATGAGACTAAGGAGCTAGAGACCAACATAGAAGCTGAAGCCCAAGACAGCTCAAAGGCTGATCATTGAGGACCTGGCAAAACAAACACAAGGTCAGTCCAGCAGAGGGCATCACTTCCTCTTGGCCAGGGATGGGACTGGGGATGAGGACGCCGGAGCCAGAGGGACACAGTCTGTGCACCAGCAGTATACACACCACTGGGGCTCATGCGTTTTTCTACATGAAAGTAGATTTGGCAGCAGAAATCCTAAAGTAACCTTGTTTCTACTAGTCTTGCTCCCTTTCTCATTCCTGTTCAGTCTGGCTCCAGTCCCACCTCAAATAACCCATTTCACCGTCAGCCAGATGGAACTACTGATGCTGCAGGGCAGCAGACTCCAAGCTGGCTGGTTATCAGAAGTACGTGGGCAGCTTTAAAAAGATGCAGATTGCCAGCCTCCACTCCTGAAGATTCTGATTCATTAAGTCTGAGTTGAGGCCAAAGAATCTTTCTTTTAAAGAAATTTCCCAGGTAATTCTGACTCTTAGCTAAGGTTAGGAATAACTGCCTTGAGGAACAAATTCTCTGTGTCCTCAAGCATTTCCTCAGGTCCCCATGTTGTCTTCTTGCTATAAGTGTAGGCTAGCTCTACCCTGATAATTGTCACTCCCTCTGTAACTCCTTTCAACGGAGGACACGCCCCCCAAACCCTTCCCAGGGCCTACAGAAGAGGCTAGCAGACAGCCTGCTCACCTCTGCTCCTCTAACCATGGCCATTAATAATGTGCTTCCCTATAAAACAGCCTCTAACATTGAATTAGGCCCTACTATGGCAATGGGGCTGGACAGGGGTCTCCAGCCTGTCATTGCTCCCTCTCTATGCACTGTACAGGGAGACTGAAGACCTCACCCACTGTTAGCGAGCCGACAGGCAGCACGCCTGGTCAGCAGAATTGGTCTGTGGCAAAAACAGGACCAAACTACTGCCAAAGAAACCCACAGTAACTCTCTAAACAAACTCAGTCCTTCCTCCATAAACCACCAGACACTTGAGGAAACTAACAGTATGGAAGAAAAGCACTGGATATAAAGATGGAACAGCCATCCCTGGCGGGAACAGAAATAATGGGGAAAATGAAAGGCAACTAGATTCTTTTTTCCTCTCAGCTCTAGGAATTTTTCTTCTATTATTTCTTTGGAAAATTTCCACCCTTTCATTCATTTCCATATCTCTTTTTCTAAAACCACATTTAATCAGATATTGAACCTCTTGATAGATCCTTCCATGTCTTCTATCTTCTCTATTTTATTTCTGTCTCTTGTTTTTGCTGCTTTTAGTAGGATGCATGGCATATCCAAGGAACTGAAAAAAGGACGATGTGGCTGGAACATGAGGCGTGAGAGAGAGTGAGGTGTTGGATGAGGCTGTGAAGGGAGGTAGGACCTGACTGTGCAATGTTCTATAGGCCACATTATGGATTTTGGTCACTATTCTTCCTAAGACCAAGTGAAGCCTCTAAAGTGATTTTAATCTAGCAGGGAGACAGGGTGTGGTGGTGGTATGATCAATCTGCATTTTGGAAAAAATTACTCCGGTTATAGTGTGGAGACTGGGTTGGAAAGGAGCACAGATGGATGGCAGGAGACTAGTTGGATGGCTTGGCCAAGGGTAATGGTAGTAGAGATGGAAAAAAGTGGATGGGTTCAGGAAAAAATACAAAGAGGCAAAAGGCATATAAAAAGTAATCAGAAAAGTACAAATTACAATAAGATATAATTTTTCATCCATCAGATTGCCAAAATTTTTAAGACTGAAAACCTATATAATGTTGATGCAAAAAAGGGAACTCTCATATGTTGTTGGTTTCGACATTTTGACGGTAATTTAGTAGTACCAAAATAAACATGCCTGTCAATTCAATTCCATATCTAAAATCTATCCTATAAGAATAATACCTTTTGTGCATAGAGATATATGTCCCAGAGTGTTTACTGCAGCATTTGTTGCTAACAGCAAAAAACGTGAAACAATCAAATGTCCATCAGCAAGATGAGGAATATTAATGTAACAATTAACAAGAATAAAGCAAACCTTATGTACTAAGATGGGAAAAAGTCTATAATATATTGATAAGTAGAAAAAGTAAGTTTCAGAAAAATACTTCTGGTATGTTAAAAAGAAAGCTCACTCCACGTATGTGTCTGTGTTGTAAATGTATCTTTGAGAATGCAGAGTAAAACAGCTGGGTTGATGCGTGTCCATCTGTGTGTGGTCTCTATCTTCTCAGCAAAATAGGAACCTAGGTTGTCTGTTGAGAATGAGGGCAGCTGTGCCAAACATCCTCCATTTGAGGAGAACGGTTCTGGCTTGAACTGTGTTGTGGGGAATAGGAAATGCAGCTGATAGTCCACTGCCAAACCTCACTGAAGGCTCAAAACGGCAACTGAGCCAACTGCCAAGGTCATCTCGTTTTCTCTAGAGGACTCAGGATGTGGAGGAGGGAGAAGGAGCCATATATGGAGCGTCTTCTGTGACCCAAGTTAGCTTCACACTAAGCTAAGCAATCAACTTCCCACCTATAATTTCACACGGACACGTGGATAATAGCCCATTTTGCAGATTGGGAGGTTAGGGGGTCCAAAGTCACACAATCAGAGAGTGGCAGAACTCCAGAGCCCCTCCCCAGTGTGCCCTCTGGGCCCTCTCCCCAATCTGCTGGCTGGGGCACGCCCCCCTGGGATGGTGGAGCCTCCAGATGGGAGGAGTCTGGTCTCTGGGAGAGCCCATGGAACAAGGCTCTTCTACCCCCAAACCATCGACCAGCTCAGACTCTGATACAAGAGAAAAGCAGACTCCTTCCTTGTTTCAGCCCCTTACCAAAATAAAAGTTTATTTTATTCTCTGCTAAACTACTGTGTCAATATCCTCATCAAAAGTTTCTAAACAGAGGAATAAAGTAGTTCATTGAAAACTTTAGGGAGATTTAATCTGTAAACCTAAATGAAATATTATTACGCTTGATCAACTTTGTATACAGAGGGAAAAATATCTGTCTATTCTCAGTACTACCCTTTTTTCTCTTTGGGGTGCCTCTCTCTATGTGTTTAACATCCAAATAATCTGTAATTATAAATAGTACATATTAATTAGTATTTCAGTATAAGGTACACTATTGAGGATTGCACTATAAGAAACCATAATTTCATAGGAATTGGCAGTTATGAGAGGTGGTAGCCAGGTAGAATAATTCCATTTCCAGGCAGTCATGGTCACTGACGAGATAGGAGAGCTTGTGTGCTGCCCTAGGGGGGCCAGTACCTGCTGTCATCACAGCCAGAGCGGTTGTGGTGCTGACAAACGACGTGATGCTGCTGCTTCCTCACAGGGTGACCCAGGCAACGTCCAGGACACTGGAACAGAAGCACAACATGGTGTAAACAACCCTGTGAGCTCACGCCTGCTGTGGTACCAAGAGCACGTACTGAGGGGGAGTGTGAAAGACCAGCTACAGGGGACCGGCTGTCTCCAGGGGAAGTTAGAGTGGATGGGAGCACAGTTCTGAGGACTAGACAGCTCTCCTTCAGGGCTAGGAAGATACCTAAGTTTCTCCTCCCCCTCTTTTCCCCCAGAAACTTAGAACACCTTTAAGGAGAAGGGAAAAGGACAGGGCCAATCTGTAATTGACTGGGCTTAGGTCTAGAAATGACTACACTTAAAACCATAAGCGACCACCAAGTTTGGGTTTTCCTGCTCTGAGCAAAAATGGAGGCTTGTGAGTTACGGTGAGTTCAATTGTAGAAAAAAAATGTTTTTTGAAGTGCAGTTCTTAAATTTTCATATAGTCATTATACTCATTAATTTTTCCTTATACTTTGTTTTATGCTTGAAAAGGTCTTTCCTATCATGATAGTTCTACTTCAGTTTAATTACTTTTACAGCAAGTGATTTAATCAAGGCAGAATTTACTTTGGTGTATGCTTTGAGTCTGGGCTCTGATTGTACGTATTTTTCTTACACTTGTTAACCAATTTCCCTGAGACTATTTTTTTTTTGCTAACAATTTTATTGAGATATAATTCACTCACTATACAATTTGCCGTTTAATGTATACAATTCAGTGATCTTGAGAGTTGTGCAACCATCGCCACAATCAACTTTAGAACATTATCATCATCCCATAAAGAAACCCCATACCCTTGAGCAGTTACTCTCAATTCCTCCCACTGCCTCTCCCCACAGGCCTAGACAACCACTGACCTACTTTTTGTCTCTGTAGATTTATCTCTTCCAGACACTTCACATCCATGGCATCCTACAGCATGTGGTCTTCTGTGTCTGTCTTCCCTCACTTACCATAATGTCTTCAAGGTTCATCCACACTGTAATACATATCAGTACTTCATTCCTTTTAATGGCCAGATAATATTCCGTTGTGCAAACATGTTGTTTACCTATTCATCAGTTGTTTCCACTTTTTGGTTATTATGAATAATGCTGCTATGAAAATTCATGTACAAGTTTTTGTGTGGATACATGTTCTCATTTCTCTTGGGTATATACCTCGGAGTGGAATTGCTGGGTCATATGGTAACCATATTTTTAACTTTTTGAGGAACTGCCAGACTGTTTTCCAAAGTGGCTATACCATTTTACATTCCCCTTAGCAATGTATGAAGGTTCCAATTTCTCCATATCCTCACCAACACTTGTTACCATCTGTTTTTGATGAATAGCATGCTAGGGGATGTGAAGTGGTATCTCACTGTGGTTTTGATTTGCATTTCCCTAATGACTAATGATGTTGAGTATCTTTTCATGTGCTTATTGGCTATTTGTATATCTTTACTGGAGAAATGTCTACTCAGATCCTTTGTCAACATTTTAATTGGGTTATTTGTGTTTTTATTATTGTGACTGTTCTTTATATATTATAGATACAAGTTCCTTTTCACAATGATTTTTAATTATTTTCTCCCATTCTATGTGTTGTCTCTTCACTTTCTTGATCATGTCCATTGTAGCACAAAAGGTTTTAATTTTGATGTTGTCCAATTTATCTCTTTTTGTTGTTGTTGTAGCTTATGTTTTTGGTGTCATATCTATGAAACCATTTCCTAATCCAAGGCATGAAGATTTATGTCTATGTTTTCTTCCAAGAGTTTTATAGTTTTAGCTCTTCGATTTAGGTCTTTGATCCATTTTGAGTTAAATTTTTGTATGTGGTGTGGGCTAGAGGTCCAACTGCATTCTTTTGTATGTGGATGTACAGTTGTCCTACACCATTTGTTGAGGAGATTACTCTTTCCTCATTGAATGGTCTAGTCACCCTTGTACAAAATCAGTTCACATAGACATATGGATTTATCTCTGGACTCTCAATGCTGTCTCATCAATCCACATGTCTATCCTATGCCAGTACCACGCTGTCTTGATTACTGTAGCTTTGTAGTAAGTTTTGAAACCAGGAAGTCTGAGCCCTCCAACTTTGTTCTTTTTCAGGATTATTTTGGCTGTTCTTGGTCCTTTATATTTCCATATGAATTTTAGGATCAGCTTGTCAATTTCAGCAAAGAAGCCAGCTGGGATTTTGACAGGGATTGTGTTGAATTTGTAGATCAGTTTGGGGAGTGTTGTCATCTTAGCAATATTAAGTCTTCTGATTCATAAATATGGGATGTTTTTCCATTTATTTAGATCTTCTTTAATTTCCTTTAAAAACCTTTTGTAGTTTTACACTGCCTATTTTTAAACCATTCTTCCCTCTATGATTAAATGCCTTTGAACTTTAAACCCATTTAGCATGGGTCTGTTTCTGTGCTCTAATTATACTCCATGACTCATGTCTATTCCTGCACCAATGCTGCACTATTTTACTTACAACAGCTTTGCAGTATGCTTTGATATCAGATAATGAAAGTCCCTCCACACCTCTAATGATTTGTTTTTCTAAAAATTTCCTGTCCTCATTTATTCTCTCATATGAATGTCAGAACTATCTTAAATTTCAAAAAAGAATTCTACTGTAATCTTAATTGGAATTCTACGACATGTTTCAGTTCATTTAAGGGCATGGACATCTTTACATTACTGAGAGTACCTTTAGTTGTCCAACTTTTCCTTTATGTGTTTCAACAATGTGTTATATATTTCTTTATGGGTTCTAAGATGGTTAATTTTATATGTCAACTTGACTGGGCCATGATGTTCCCAGATATTTTGTCAAGCGTTATTCTACACGTTTCTGTAAGGATGTTTGTGGATGAGATTAACATTTAAATCAATAGGTTGAGGAAAGCAGATTGCTCTCCCTAATGTGAGTGGGCCTCATCTAATCAGTTGAAGGGCTGGATAGAACAAAAAGGCTGACCCTTCCCCACGTAAGAGAGGATTCCTCCATGCCTGACTGAACTAGGACATTGGCTTTTTCCTGCCTTTGGACTTGAACTGAAACACTGGCTTTTCTTGGGTCCTGAGCCTGCTGGCCTTTTGGGCTGGAACTATATCATTAGTGCTCCTGGATCTCTAGTTTACTGACTCATCCTGTAACTCTTAGACTTGTCAACCTCCATAACTGCAAGAGCTAATTCCTTATAATAACTCTGTCTATATATAAAGACATTTATTATACACACACACACATGCACACATATACATACATTCTATTGGTTCTGTTTCTCTGGAGGACCCTGACTAATAAAGATACACAGATTTCGGTACTGAGAAGTAGGTGCTGCTGTAACAAATACCTAAAAATGTGGAAGTGGCTTTGGAACTGGGTGATGGGTGGAGGCCAGAAGAGTTTTGAGCTGCATGCCAGAAAAAGCCTAGACTGCCTTGAAGGAAATGGTAGTGGAAATATGAACATTAAAGGTGATTCTGGTGAGGTTTTGGATGAAAATAAGGAACATGCAATTGGAAACTGGAGGACAGGTCGTCCTCATAAAGGGGCAAAAAACTTGGCTGAATTGTGTTCTAGAGTTTTGTGGACAGTAGAACTTGCAAGTGATGAAAGTGGATATTTCACTGAGGGGATATCTAAGCAAAGTGTTCAAGGTGCAACCTGGCTTTTCCTGACTGCTCATAGTAAAATACAAGAAGACAGAGAGAAATTGAAGGAATTGTAAAGCAAAAAGGAACCAGAACTTGAAGATTTGGAAAATTCTCAGTCCATCTGTATTTTGAAAAATGAGAAAGTATGTTTTGGAAAGAAAATGAAGGGTGGGGCTGGGCAATCACTCCATGAGGAGATCACCCACGGAGTCGATCAGCCATCTCAGCAGAAGCCAGGAATAGAGACAGGATTATACCAGCAGAGACACTGCCAGTTTGGACCAAACAGAACAGAGATGGGACACAGAAAGGAAGGCTCTCGAACTTCTGGGATTCTACAGGATGGGATGATAATGATTTGTCCTTCAAGAAAAGGGAAGGAGGACCCTGAAGATGATTCTGAGATCCCCAGGGCTGCCACTCCCACTGCAGGCCCAGGGAACAAGGCTGTTTCCTCCTCAGTCACAGAGGGTAGGGCCCCTCCTCAATTTCAGTGGGCCGAGCTGCCCCTGCCCACCGCTTCAGGGGCAGGGCCACTCCAAAGAGCCACGTGGGTGAGGCCACTGCCTAGGGCCACGGGTCAATGCGGATACCCCAGTGGGTCTGGAGGGTGGAGCATCAAGCCAAAGAGGATTATTCTTGAGCCTTAAGATCTAATGGAATCGGCCGTGCTGAGTTTGGGACTTGATTAGGACCCAGTGCCCCTTTCTTCTTTCTCCCTTTTGGAATGGCAATGTCTATCCTATGGCTGTCCCACAGTTGTATTTTGGATGTACACACTGTCTGGTTGCACAGGTTCACAGCTGGAGAGGAGTCTTCCTCAGGATGACTCATTGCTCACACTCCCTGACCTAGGTGACATTTAGTGAGACTTTGGACTTGGACTTGATGCCGGAATGGGTTAAGACTTCTGGGGATAATGGGATGGGGTGGATGTATTTTGCATGTGAGAAGGACATGAATTTTGGGTGGCCAGAGATGAAATGTTATGGACCAGATTGTGTCCCCTCAAAATTTATATGCTGAAGCCCTAAACCAGCAAGGTGACTGTATTTGGAGACAGGGTCTATGAGGAGGTATTCAAGGTTAAATGAGGCCATGAGGATGGGGCATTAATCTGACAGGAATAGTGTCCGTACGAGAAGTGGAAGAGACACCAGAAATCTCTCTGTTTCAGTGTATGCACAGAGAAGAGGCCATGTGAGGACTTAATGAGAAGGCAGCTGTCTACGGCCAGAGAGAGGGGTCTCACCAAAACCAAGGCTGACAGCACCATGCTCTTGGACTTCCAGTCTTCAGAACTGAGAAAATAAACTTCTGCTGTTTACGGCTCCCAGTGTGTCGTGTTTTGTTATGGCAGCCCTAGCTGACTAACACAGGTTCCTACACATTTCTCTAAATTTTTTTCCCAAATACTTATTATAATATTATTCAAGGTGGCCTTTAGGATGTGGGTTCTGAGACTTTTGCACACATATTACTCAAGTTCCTCTGCTCTTCTCTTGAAGCCTGCTCTTGTTCCTCCCGCCCCAACCAGTCTATCTTGGAGCTTCTGTTGCTGAGCTGCTGCATTCAGAGGCCCCAACCTTGTTTTAGCTCTGTATTGGAAGACAGAGACACCATGATTTCCTAATGTAACCCTTAAGGTCAGGCACAGACCTGCATTTTAGAGGCCAATCAGGTTTTTTTCCCAAAATTAAAAAAAAAATGTATTAGAAGCAAAGTGATGATTATTGTGCCATCAAAACATTAGATCTGTGGGCTTTACCTGGCCCCCTGCTTCAATGACCCACTGAACACACGGATGACTGGTGCATGGTCTTCTCCCCAGAGGCCTGTCTCTGGGGGCGCATGCTCTTGGAGACATCACCTGCACAGTTCCGTCGGCTCTTGTGCGCTTGCACGTCACTTGCCGACTGCGAGATCCTTCACCGCAAGACACAGAGCACTTGGACCATGTGCTAGTGAACCACCTACGAACAAAAACTACAGGCGCTTAGTAAGGACTGGCATGTCAGACCCTACAGGCGTGTCTTCAAAACACAAAATTGATCCTAACGTTGTGACTGTTTCTAGGCCGTCACATGTCTCCATGAAGGGCGGCAGCATAGATAACTCCCAGCCCTATTCTCAGATTTTCTCTTACTCAGGGGAGCAGCAGAATCACCAGGTAGAGACAACCAAGACAGAGGTTGTGTAGACCTGTCTTCAAGTATGTAAGAGCTGGCACTTGTGTGGCCCCAGAGAGTAGAGCTAGGGCAAAATTAGGTGGAAATTTCAAAAAGGTGGATTTCAACTCATTGAAACCAAAGGGAAGCAAATATTTTTAAAGCAGCTATGTGCTGTTTGCTCTGCGAGATGTTGACATGTTATTTTACTGAATTCTCATGTTATTCCCATTCTTGTAGGGAAGAAACCAATGTCTAAGGGGTTCAATAACTTGGCTATGGTCACATAACTGACATGCCAGCAGAGCTGGAAATGGAGTCTAGATTTATCTGACCCTGAAGTTCACACTTTATAGCAGACTGAACTGGTAAGTGGACACCTCTGAGATATTAAGCGCTCTGTCACTGAAGATGTTCGAGCTGCTGCTGGAATACAGCAAAGCAAGGGTTCTTAACCTGAGGTCCATGGCTCTCCAAGGGCACCGTGGACTTGGATGGGAAAAGAATTGCATCTTCATTGTCACTAAGCTCTAACTGAAATTTAGTATTTCCTTCAATTATACAATTGTAGGCCACAAAATATAGGTCGTAGTATTAGCACTACCTGTGATTTTGTTACCAATAGAAATCATGGGTATTTTCACACGACATTACAATTGTGGCAGGCATCTCAAAATATAATTTATATAAATCACCATTTCAAAATTAATATATTACTAGATCTTTTTATTTAGTGTGTTAATAGAGAAGCAAATCTATTACTATATCACACATTTTAAAATATTCAGTAACTGTATTTGAATATAATTGGCTTCCTTTCTAATCAAATGTATTTTATTTTACAGATTTAAAACCCTGTTCTGGGAAGGGCTCCACAGGCTTCACCAGACTACCAGAGGGGTCCAAGGCACAGAAACGTGCAGGACCCCCAAAGCAGAGGGATCTAGATTAGACGACCTGTATTGTCTCTTCTAGGTATGAAAGTGTATGACTCTGTTTATTCTAGAGATGTGCAAAAGTTTGAAAATATTTGGTAAATGAGACTGCTGATAATGTTCCCAATGTGGATTCTTTCCATTTTGTGAGAATCAAGAATCGACACAAAGCAGCTTTCTTGGATTGAGCTCCTCTAGTTATTGTAGTGTGAGTGTGCTGCCCCCGAGGGACAGATGACTCAGCAGGAGACCTTCCTTTGAAGAACACAATGGGTACTGCACACATGTCGATCAGCGCACCTGCAACACCCATGGCCCTTCTAAGAACATGCTCCAAGGTATCTCTTTTGTTTTACAGTGTGACCCTGCCTCCCACCCTCTTCCAAGGCACAGGTAATTTTCTCTCAGTAAAATGGGGTTGAGAATAGTATCTGGCTCATAGGTTTATGCTTGATAAATGCTATTATTATTTGTTAAATTTTTTTGCTGTGGATTTTGGTGCATCTGGTCAGTTATCCGCTAGGGTCTATGCTATTCAATCATTAATTCCTTCATTACACAGATATTTCTAGAGGGTGCGTAATGCGGCAGACATTGTGTTAAGTGCTGGGAATAAAGTGTTCAGCAAAACAGCCATGGATTTACTCTCATAGAACTGAGTGTCTAGTGGGAGAGCAAGATAGACAGGTTGTGGGAAGAGCTATTAAAAAGGATGATAAGGAAATACAAAAAGAAAATGTATAGCACAGGGGCCTGTTCTTGTTTGGAGGGCTAAGGTCAGGGAAGGTTTCCCTGAAACTAAATAAGTAAGAATAACTAAACGAAGAGAGAGGGAACAGTGTTCTAGGTGGAGGGAGCAGTATGGGCAAAGGCTCTGAGTCAGGAGAGAGAATGGCACATCTAAGGGACTAAAGAGGACCAGCGTAGATGGAGATCAGACAACCAAGGTGGGAGAGACCAGCGATGAGACAGGACGGCAGCATGGAGGGACTGCTATTCCTTCACTCGTTCATTCAGATGGACAGCAAATATTTACTGAGCATCCATCATGTGCTGGGCTCTGTTTTAAACACTGCGGTAAAAAATGAACAAGAGAGACACAACCCCAGTGCTAAGAATTTGGGCCTTTGTCCTAAGAACAATGAGAAGTCATTGAGGGGTTTTAAACAGAGGACCATCATGATGACTTTGTGTTTTAAAAGATGGCTCTGCTTACAGAGTGGAAAAAGCACTGTAGGGAGAGAGACAAGAAACAGGAGGCCCCTGGAGTGGTCCACATGAGAAACGAGGATGGCTTGGACTCTGGTGGTAACAGCAGAAACTGACAAGAACGGATGGAGGTGAGAGATGATGTGAGTCTAGGATGCAGTCACTGAGATCTGGAACACTGGGGATGGGTCAGGCTCAGTGGAGATCATGAATCTGATTTTGGACTTTTTAAATTATTGATTTGTATCATCTATTACATAGAAAGGTTATTAATGGTTTCACCTCCAGGGGTGGAGTCTAGGGAACTGTGTTTGTAACTAGTGCCTCCTGTGATTCTGGCCCAGTGCATCGCCTCCTGGGTAAACCCAGGAAGTCAGCTTCGCCATGCTTGTGAGGAACAAAGAGCACCGTGAATGCAGGAAGCAGAGCTGGAGAGATTAAGAGCAGAGGCTCTGAAATCAGACGATCTCAATTTGAACTCTGGCCCTTGTAACTGTGTGGCCTAGCGGAGTTTTTCCATCTGTAAAATAGGAAACTAACATCTACTTCATGGGCAACTGTGAAGGGATCCACATACAGCACTTAGCAGAATGCCTGGTACAAAGTACACGCTAAATAAATCTCAGCGATGGAATTATTAAGTCCACATTACTGTGCCTTCTAAAACAAGCAAATGTACTTATGTGATCAGAAGAGTGACTACACGTACCTCGAGGGGCAGTCCCGGATGTTACAGGGCTGAAACCCGGCCAGCGGCTTCTGGAGGTGATCACAAAGGGCCTCACTCACTTCCTGCCCATTGGCCATCACACACTGGGGTCTCTGAACACGGGATCCCAAGTGGCCACAGGTGGCAGAACACTGTGTCCAGTTGCCAAGCTCCCAGAAAGGCTCTGCAGAAGGGAAATAAAATGTCACGGCAGCCCTGAGTGAGAAATGATGATGGGCTGGAGAGGACATGGCCGAAGACCACCATGAGCAGTTTTCTGGTTAGCTGCCTGTCTGGTTCACAAAGTAGCGCACAGAGAGAAAGGATCACATAGCGCAAGGGCGCACTTTAAATCTCATTTTCCCTCAACTAACTTACTGTAATGGCGGCCAGAATCAGGCCCTTGGACCACAGCCGGGGAGAGGGGCTATTGTAGGCAAGCTGGATCTGCCAAAAAAATCCCAGAGAGAGGGAGGAGGTACTCAAGTAGTGGGCTGCCTCCTCAGCATTCTCCAAGCAGAGCCAAGAGCACAAGAGAGGAGGGCCTCTCCAGGGGATGCTCTGAAGGGTTCTATTTCTCAAAAGTGGATCAGGCAGAGAAACGAAAGATGATTTAGCAGGGACCAGGGATTAAGCAGTAAGGTTAAAGATGCATTTCAATTCCATTCTTATTTTTCCATTAATTCTAATCTAAACTTCAGATTAGTCCTGAAACTGCATAAATAATTTGTCATAGAGACATCTGGAAAGGTAAAAATAGGAGTTTCCTTTACAAAAGTTGAAGCTGATCACCTCCAGTAATCATAGCTTTTTTATTTTAGTCCCCATTCCAAACAGCCTTTTCCTTCCCTTTTGACACTTGGTAAAAAGATGAGGTAGGACACGATGATGACAGATTTGTGTATGATCACAGAAGGTGCCAGATTTTCCTGTAATAATCACAAGTAACTGATAGCTACCAGCTGTGTCCACAGGCTCCCTCACATAGCAGAGTGATTTCTTTAACTTATTGTTTTCCAGTTCTTCCTTCTGAGTTTTGAATTTTTGTCTGAAGTTGCATATGGCATCATTTACAAAGGAGAACAGTACGTATTTTTAGTTGGGCCCCCAGGATTACAGTTTATTTAAAATAATTTTTTAAAATAGCTAAATTTATTGAGAACCTCCCAGGTGACAGGTACTGAGTTAGACACTTGAACATAAATTTTTCATTTAATCCTTACGGTCACCTTGTGAATTAGATTATTTTTATTTGCTGAGATGGAAACTGAAAAAAACTTAATGACTTGCCCAAGGTCCTTCATCAGTCAGCTAGATTGAACCCAAGTGTGTCTGAGCCCAGATCTAACTCTCTCTACTCTGCCACATTTCACAAAGACAACTTGACAGTTCAAGGCAGGACACACAAGCATTTCTTAAAAAACGTGTTTTTTTATTGAGGTATAATTCATATACAATAAAATGCTCAGATATAAGGTATGCAGTTTTACAAGTTTTCACAATTGTGTGTACTCATGTAACCATGATCCAAAGCAAAGTATGAAACATTTCATCTCTCCAAAACGTTTCCTCTTAACCTTTTAATCAATTCCCCTCCCCTCCCAAGTAACTACTTGTCCATTTCTATCAGTATACCTTAGTTTTATCTGTTCTTGGACTTTATACAATATGTTTTCTTTTGCATTTGGCTTCTTTTGCTTAATATAATGTTTTTGAGATTCACCCATATTGCTGTGCATGTCAGTAGTTCATTCTCTTTTATTGCGGAATAATATTCAATTGTGTGAATATACCACAGTTTGTTTATCAATTCTCCTGGTGATGGCCATTATGAACTGAAGGTTGCCATGAACATTCTTGTGCAAATTTTTTTGTTAACATGTTTCATTTTTCTTGGGTAAATACCTGTGAATGGCACTGCTGGGTCAACAGTAGGTGTATGCTTAACTTTATTAGAAAATGCCATATAGTTTTCCAAAGTTGCTGGACCATTTTACACACTTATCAGCAGTGCGTGAGAATTCCAGATGCCTCACACCCTTGCCCAAATTTGGCATTGTCAGTACTTTTGTTTTCACTATTCTAGTAGATGGTTTTCATTTTCATTTCCTTGATGCCATCTGTAGATCTTTTATGAACTCTCTTTTGCCCATTGTCTTTTTTGGGGAGGGGAGAGTATATCATTAACTTCTAGGAGTTCTTCATATATTCTGTTAGTTCATTATTAGAGTATGGAAATGCAACTGATATTTTTGTTGTTGGTGGTGGTGAGGAAGATTAGCCCTGAGCTAACATCTGTTGCCAATCCTCCTCTTTTTTGCTGAGGAAGACTGGCCCTGGGCTAACACCCGTGCCCATCTTCCTCTATTTTCTATGCGGGACGCCTGCCACAGCATGGCTTGACAAGTAGTGTGTAGATTAACACCCAGGATCCGAACCTGCGAACCCCGGGCCACCGAAGTGGAGTGCACTAACTTAACCACTACGCCTCTGAGCCAGCCCCTGAAAGGCAACTGATTTTTGTAAGTTGATTTTGTACCCTGGAACTTTGTTGTAATTGTTGATTATTTCTAATAGTTTTCCAATGGATCTTTAGGATTTTCTATATATAAAATAATACCATCTACAAACAGCAAGAGTTTCACTTCTTCCTTGCCAATTTGGATACCTTTTATTTCTTTTTCTTGCCTAATTGCTCTGGCCAAAACCTCCAGTACTACGTTGAATAAGAGTGGTGAGAGTGGGCACCCTTGTCTTGTTCCTGATCTCAGAGGGATGGCTTTCAGTTTTTCCCTGTTGAGTATGATGTTTGCTGTGGGTTTGTCATGTACAGCCTTTATTATGTTGAGGTACTTCCCTTCTGAATCCCATTTTATTGAGAGTTTTTATCATAAATGGATGTTGGATCTTGTCAAATGCTTCCTCAGCATCTACTGAGATGATCATGTGGGTTTTTATTCCTTATTTTTTTAACATGGTGTATCAAATTGATTGATTTGCAGATGTTGAACCATCCCTGCATCCCTGGTATAAATTTCACTTGATCATGGTGTATGATCCTTTTAATGTATTGCTGTATTCAGTTTGCCAATATTTTGTTGAGGATTTTTGCATGTATGTTCATCAGTAATGTTGGCCTGTAGTATTCCTTCCTTGTATTGTCCTTGTCTGGCTTTGGGATCAGGGTGATGTTGGCCTCGTAAAATGTGTTAGGAAGTCTTCTTTCTTCTTCAATTTTTTGGAATAGTTTGAGGAGGATAGGTACTAAATCTTCTTTGAATGTTTGGTAGAATTCTCCAGAGAAGCTATCTGGTCCTGGACTTTTAGTTTTGGGGAGGTTTTTTATTACTGTTTCAATCTCTTTACTTGTGATTGGTCTATTCAGAGTCTCTATTTCTTCTTGGTTCAGTTTTGGGAGGTTGTATAAGTCTAAGAATTTATCAATTTCTTCTAGATTGTCCAATTTGTTGGCATATAGTTTTTCATAGTAGTCTCTTATAATCTTTGTATTTCTGTGATATCCATTGTGATTTCTCCTCTTTCATTTCTAATTTTATTTATTTGAGCCTTCTCTCCATTTTCCTTAGTGAGTCTGGCTAAGGGTTGGTCAATTTTGTTTATCATCTCAAAGAACCAGCTCTTAGTTTCATTGATCCTTTCTACTGTTTTTTTGGTTTCAATTTCATTTATTTCTGCTCTAACTTTTATTATTTACCTCCTTCTGCTGACTTTGGGCTTTGTTTGTTCTTCTTTTTCTAGTTCTGTTAGGTGTAGTTTAAGATTGCTTATTTGGGCTTTTTCTTGTTTGTTAAGGTGAGCCTGTATTGCTATGAATTTCCCTCTTAGGACCGCTTTTTCTGTATCCCATATGAGATGGTATGGTGTATTTTCATTTGCCTCCAGATAGTCTTTGATTTCTCTTTTAATTTCTTCAATGATCCATTGGTTGTTCAGTAGCATGTTGTTTAGTCTCCAGATGTTTGTCACTTTCCCAGCTTTTTTCTTGTACTTGATTTCTAGTTTCATAGCATTATGTTTGGAGAAGATGCTTGTTATGATTTCAATCTTTTTAAATTTATTGAGGCTTGCCTTGTTTCCCAACATATGGTATATCTTTGAGAATGTTCCATGTGCACTTGACAAGAATGTGTATTCTGCTGATTTTGGATGGAGTGTTCTATATATATCTATTAAGTCCATCTAGTCTAGTTTTTTTTTTAGTTCCACTATTTCCTTGTTGACTTTCTGTCTGGATGATCTATCCATTGATGTTAGTGGAGTGTTAAGGTCCCCTAGTATTATTGTGTTGCTGTTAATGTCTCTTCTTAGGTCAATTAATAGTTGCTTTATGTACTTTGGTGCTCCTGTGTTAGGTGCATATATAAGTGTCATGTCCTCTTGGTGGAGTGTCCCTTTTATCGTTATATACTGCCCCTCTTTGTCTCTCATTGTATTTTTTATCTTGAAGTCTACTTTGTCTGACATAAGTCTGGGAACACTTGCTTTCTCTTGTTTGCCATTAGCTTGGAGTATCATCTTCCATCCCTTCACTCTAAGTCTGTGTTTGTCTTTAGAGATATGTTTCCTGGAGGCAGCAAATTGTTGGGTCTTATTTTTTAATCCATCCAGCCCTCTGTGTCTTTTTTGTGTGTGTGAGGAAGATTGACCCTGAGCTAACATCCATTGCCAATCCTCCTCTTTTTTTTGCTGAGGAAGATTAGCCCTGAGCTAACATCTGTGCCCATCTTCCTCTATTTTGTACATGGGATGCCACCACAACATGGCTTGATGAGCAGTGTGTAGGTCCACACCCTGGATCTGAACCTGCAAACCCCAGGCTGCTGAAGCAGAGCATGTGAACTTAACCACTACGCCACTGGGCCGGCCCCCACTCTGTGTCTTTTGATTGGGGGATTCAATCCACTTACGTTTAGAGTGATTATTTATATATGAGGGCTTAATGTTGCCATTTTATCACCTGTTTTTCAGTTGTTATGTATTTCCCTTGTTTCTTGTCCCATGTATTTCAGACTGCCATTTCAGTTTGGTGGCTCTCTATGATGGTTTTCTCAGTTTTCTTTTCATTTATCATTTGTGTCTTTGTTCTGATTTTTTGTTTAGTGGTTATTGTGAGGTTTGTATAAAAGATCTTGTAGATGAGATAGTCCATTCTCTGATAGACTC